AAGATTAATGTAAGTATGAAAGTTATAGAATAAGTGTATTTTGGCTTGCTTTACAAGTTTACTTAGTGAAAAAAAGCTGGTTTTAAACACTGTTTTTGACTTTACATATGAATGAATAATCTTTGCCAATCATATCCAAAAATGGATGACGAAAATGAAAAAATTCAAATAAGTCAAAAACGGTGTTCAAAACCCCATGTTGCGCACTAAGTAAACTTGCACAGCAGGCTAAAATACACAACTTGAAAGTTTTATGTATTGGCGAAAAGTTTTATTTGTAAAAAATAAATTTTTACAAATCACGTGATCGAACACGGCTATAGACGACCCCCTTAAGGAGGCAAAAAAGAGGAAGACAGATTAGTACTGTCTTCTAAACTTATCTGGATACGCTCTATTCCCAATACCCATTGTTCAATTACTATTTTTTCTGACGGGAACAGGACGGGGTTAGTCTTACTGGCTTTACAGACCTTCTAGGGGCTTACCTGCTAACCTACCTGGTTTTGCTTCCAATAGGAAAACAAATGGAATCCTGACTTGTTCCAGATGTTCCGGATGTGGAGGATCTGGGGGGTAAAATCAAAACTTTTTTCTGGGGGAATCCTCCCAATTTTTTTAAAATATCCTCCACATTCTCCACATCCTCCGCACTCTTCTGATTCCCTCTTATTTTCCTCTCTTTTTCCTTATTTTATTCTTTTTTGGTATATATTTTTGTGGAGGATCTATGTGGAGGATTGTGGAGAATATATGGGGATGCCTGAGCCTGTAGGGGCCATGTAGGTACTGCGAGGCCGTGAGGCCGAGGTGGGTGGAGCCTGCGACACACACATCCAGCCTGATGACTTGCCATACAGGATCCAGGTGTTAGTATGAAAGATGGGTGTATTAAAGATAAATATGATGCCAAGCAAACCTTATTAAAATCAATGATAGCTGAAGTTAGTGAAGAAAGAGTTTGTGAACTATGGAAGATTACGGATGTGTGACCTAATTAAGGTTGCTTGCCGAAACTAAAGGGTTTCGGCAGAATGGCATATGCAAAACTGCTGAAACTAGTTTCGTGAAATCATCAAGAAATGCTGAGACTGCAAAACCTATCAAAATCGTGAAATTGCCATAACTTGCCAAAACAATTTCAGCATTTCAGCGCAGTATATCATATGATATACATATAGTTTCAGCATCGGTATCAGTCAAGTGACTTACTGATCCGATCAGTTTATCAATCTGACAATCTGATCAGTTGGTCATAATTTTAAAAAAAAGTCTTAAAAAAAATAAGGCTTTTATTATTTATTTTTTTTTCTGTTCTTCTGTGAATTCTGTTGGAATGAACTAAGGACGGCTTTTTAGATGAGTTTCAGCAAATTTAAGTAAGCCAAGTTTGTTCTTTTGGTCCTTTCTTAGAGTGAAGTACGTTTGGGTGGGTGTATAATATTAAATGGCATTATAAAACAATACTAACAAACTCATTTTTTATTTTTTTTAGATTTCCAGCTTTCTCTTGAAGTGGAATATGCAGCAAGTGAAGTTTTGATGGGTGTATAATATGAAATGGCGTTATAAAACAACACTAACGACATTCCTTTTTATTTTTTTAGATTTCTGGCTTTCTCTTGAAGCGGAATATGCGAGTAGGTGTTTGGGTGGGTGTATGGTTGTGTAATGGGTTATGAAACAACACTAACTTCATTCTGCTTTCATTTTTAGATTTCTGACTTTCCCTTGAAGTATACAGGTAGGTGTTATTTGGGAAACATTAACGCCATTTTTCTTTTATTTTTAGGTAAAGATGTGGTGTGTTTTTAATATTAAAGAAACGTAGGCTTTGAATGTAAGTTAGAGGGACTGAGGGAGGGGAGAAGTATTTCTTAAAATTTTAAAGAAACATATTAATGTTTCTTTCTTTGTTTTATTTTTTTAGGTTGTCGGACTTTTGGATGATGAAGGAGTTATACTTAATTGCGTCAAAAAAATATATATGTTTTTTCACTTTTAGTACATGAATATCATTGATTAGAAATTTTTATTGTTATTACAATAAAATAAAAATATTACAAATAATAATACAATAAAACAATAAAACAGAATATATCAATATTTTTAATTACGTGTAAATGTGTAAATGAAGATATAAGGAATGCCAAAACTATGCCGAAACTTATATAAAATATTACTATTTATTATGCGCAAGTTTCAGCAGTTTCGCAGTTTCGGCAGATTTCAGCATTTCAGCATTTCACCACTATATAAGAGTTTTGGCATTTCGTGTTAGGCCAGATGGGCAATCTTAGACCTGATAACAAAAAACACGACCCTGTCTCATATCTCTGTTTGTGTATGTCTAATATATCCCACAGTATTGTTTGTCATCATTATTTTTGAGTAATGATGATTTCAGCAGTGGCTGGCTTTCAAATTCAGATGATACCTTTATGATAGTATGTTGATGATAAAAAAAGTAAGGATGCTGGTTCAACAACTCTTTTTGTAAGCCAGAAGGCCATGCAAAATTTTTCAAGTATAACACTTGTTCCAAATCCTTTGTTGCACGGCAGGCAACTCAACTTGCTGTTGAGCATGATAGTCATGGTGAGATAATTGGATGGTTAAAAAAGTTTATTAACAAGCACAAAGAAATAGAAATTGCATAAAATCAAGACCTTATGGAAGTTCAAGTGAATGACAACAAAGAAAATGAACCTTTACAAGTTGAAAATCTGCTAGTTTCATGACGTAAAGGGCGCCCAGAAACAAAGCAATATAAATCCTCAACTGAAACAAAGTCTTGCACGAAATATACCTGCAAAACGTGTGGTCAAATAGGACATAATAGCACAAGGTGCCAGAATTGGTAATATATCTATCTTTGTTTTGATTCTTTGTCTTGACTTATTTTTTAACAATTCACTTAATGAATGTCATGTTTGCAGAAGCCATTAACATTTATAGAGTGCATATAGTTAAGTTTCTTTAAATAAATACATGTTGATACTTGTACCATGTATTTTATTTTTGTGCAATGATTGGTTTAAAGCCACCAAAATCACGTGATTTTATAATAAATAAATGTATAAATTCAATATTATAAAAAAAGCGATAAATTTAAAATTTTTAAATTTTATAAAATTTTTATCTGACCTAATTTTCCAAGGTTGTTACAAAAAAAGTGTATAACAGGATGTTACAAATAAATTTATCCATAATAAATTATATACTATATAAATAATTATCAAAAAAATAAAATATTGCAAAACTAATCAGGCAGTTTTTGGCCTGCATTATGCTTAATTTTGGCCAGAATTATACTTAATTCTAGCCAAAATATAACTTGGATCCTGAAATTAATATTTTAAAAATATTATCTATAAAAGTTAAAAAAAAGAGGATAAGTTAAATTTAAAAAAAAGTACCAATTTATTCAAATATAAAATATAACTTTGTAAAATCAACACAATTTGCTAAAACTCATAATTATAACTATTAATTAATTTTTAATTAATTTGCTTTATCTAACCGAATTTGCTAAATTAACTTAAATGTGAGTTATATATGTGATATTTGGGATCCTATTAATTTTATATATTTTTATAATAAAACTATAATTTTTTATAATTAAAATTAAAATTAAAAATTATTATTATAATGATGAAACTAAAACTAATTGGGAATGAAACCAAAATTTTGGCAAAAAGAGTTTAGGCAGGCATCACTACTTTGGAGTACTATCTAGTCCATAAATTTATATATAGTAATGATATTTTATATTATAATTAGAATAATATCTCAGTCAAAAATTTTTGAAATTCAAAAAATATTTTACATGTAGTGACGATTACCACTGGTGATATTTAGCAATACCTATAAAAATAAAATAAAAATACTATATGAGGAAATTATACGTCTTTATATACAAAATGAACATATAAACTACACATGTCAGGAGGATTATTACAGAGCTAGAATTATGGAATTAGAATACAGATAAAAATTTTGGTAAATTTATAAAGTCATATGATTTTATAATAGGCCAATCAGAAGTTTCAGACAATTTTGGGAGTTTAGAAATTTAGAAAGATTTTGGGATTTTAGAAGAATTTCAGTTAGTTTTGGAAATAAAATTCTAATCGAAATTATTTCAGAATTAGGAAATAATTTCAGTTGGCAGCTTTAACAGGACTCCGAACAATATATATAAAGGTAGGTTTTGAGTTTGCTTAACCAACATATAAAAATTTTTCCTATGTGAGATTTATTATTGCTTATTTGATAACATAATTTTTAAATAGTCAGATATAATTATGCGTAGCAGAGTATTAAATTATTAATAGTCAGATATATATTTGCGTAGCAGGATAGAATTTTTTAATATATATATATAATATAATATTTATTTATTTTCACATTAAAAAATCTAATAAAAATATGTAAACAAAGTTATAAACATGTTTGTATAAAAAAAATTTACTATTTTTAATACAAAGAATAAGTTAATTGTATACGTAATACAGGGAACATTTTTAGANTTAATTGTATACGTAATACAGGGAACATTTTTAGATGTAATCGTGTAATGTGTTTTTGATAAAACAAATACGCGTCCGCATAACATTAAAATTATAAATCATATACGCGTCCATGTAACATTTAAAAAATATATATTTGAAATGTGAGTAACGGGTGGGTGGGAAGGGAAAAATAAGTGTTTTTCTGTTTTTTTATAATTTTACACTATAATTTTTGTAATAATCAATAAAAGTTATTTCATTTTTACTTAGAAAATTTTTTAAAAATATTTTTTTTGACAAATTTTACAGTAAATTTTAAAAATAAAAATTCCGCGTATTGGTAGCATTACAAAAAACATAAATAAATCCATAAATATCTATTCAATCATGATAAAGATTTATATATAAGTAGATTCGAACCTGCTGAACAACTTTACTTAAGAAGGTTTTGGATGTTTCCTTTGATTAAAGTGCCCAAATTACGCTCCGAAGTCACAGAACAGATATACGAAATATTAATAAGAAACATTTATAAGTTGTAATATTACAAAAAAATAATAATAGCTTTATCCATACATTATTTCAAAAATTTTTGTTTTTTTATTTTTTTTTATATACATATTTTATAAAAAAAATTATATATAAATATATATATGTCATAAAATAAGTTGCTTAGCAGTGTAAAAAATTTATGGGTTAGATAAAAGTTTGCTTAGCAGACATGAAAAATATTTGCTTATTGACCTTAGTAAATTTTGAATTTTTTATCTGACCTATATATATATTGTTTGGGGTCCTGCTTTAACTACCATATTAGTTCTATTGTTAGTAGTGATTGAAGAGATATGATCTTCTAATTTCCAATCTGAAATAATTTTATGTAGGGAATCAGTAATAACAACTGGTATATGATGAGAAGACATATATTTGATCTCCAACATAACATCTTTAATTTTAAGATCTAGTGTGATATAAGTAGCAGTTACTTTAAGATAACTATATTTTGCTTAGCTTGAATATTCCATGATGTTTCATTAAAAAAATGATTATGGCAATTTTTTTGATTGTGATTATAACTTTTTTCAAATTTTTTTTTTTCTGGCATAATAAATGATGAATTGAATATATTTATCATTTCTTTATATACTTTATTTGTAACATATTAGAATTTAAAAATTTTTAAACATATAACTTTTTAAATATATAGTAATTAAAGTAAAAAATATCTACCTTTTTCTTTTCAAGATGCTAAATTACATTTCCTGTTGAACTTCTTTGTTTTTTACACTAGTTGCCATCATTATCTAAGATTTTGCAAATATGTAATTCATCACCAGTTTTTGGATCAATTATTCTTTCAAAATATTCATAATTATTATTAAATTCTGTTTTATTAGAACTGTCTAAGTACGAAACTCAATAATTTTTATTTTTTTTTAAAAAAAAATTAATTTTTAATCAATTTATTTGGCATGTGCGCATTCCTATCCTTGAGGTCACTAGGTGGGGACTTCTTGTCTGGATGGTCACTCTACGATACCAATGTAGCTAGATGTGGTCCCTTCCTCCTCTCCAATCGTAGGTAAAGATAGTCATCGGTTCTAAAAGACCGCAGTTCTACAGTCACACACCATAAAAAGACAGACTGGTCTGTCTTAGTGTAGGACCACGGTCTTTCAGTCCTGTATCACATATAATAAGACTGTCGGTCTTTTTAAGAACCACAGTCTTTTTAAGACCGATCAGTCTTTTTTCTTTTTTTTTACAAATAAAAAAATTTTTTTCCTTAACTTTATTAGGAATAGCCTTGTTTTATAAATATGAACACTAATTGGGATTTTTTAAATATACAAATTTTTTTTTTACAAATGATCATCACATGCGTCATGCACTTACTATTATTGTATTTGTGATAATAATCGTGATATCTCACCATCCAGTGATTATAAAAATATGAAACTACCACCATTCGAATCGTCTCAATGAGATGCGTCGAATGGTATCAAAATTATTATTTTATAATCGATAGAAAAAAAATTACATTGGCAAAACTATTTGATAACAAATTCAATAATTGCTGGCTATCTATTGATCCTGAAAATATAATTTAGCCACCATTTGACGCGTCTTGTTGAAACGATTTGAATGGTAGTAGTTTTATCGTTTTATGATCACTGGATGATGAGATATTCCGCTTAATTGCTAATTCGGTTAAGATCAGCAGTGTCCTACTATGTAAAATTGGGGAAATTGGTGCAAATAATAAAAATAATTATCATATGATCTAATAATCCAATTTTGATGAACTTTTTTTTGTTCTGTAAGTCTGGATTACCTTTATAAAATAAAAATAATTTCATTGAAATTGGACCATTAGGTTGTGAGATAATCACAAAAACATATTTTACTGACAACGATCAGATTCCATTAATAACAAAGCAGACAATTATCTCCTGATTCAGTGATCCAATTTCAATAAACTTTTTTTTGTTATTTAGATCTCAATAATCTCTACATAATAAAAAAATTTTGTCAAAATTGGGCCTCTAGATCGTGATATAATTGTGAAAACATATTTTGCCAGACGATTTTTAGATTCATGATATGGCAAAATATATCTTTGTGATTATCTTCCGATCTAGCAGTCCAATATTGACAAACTTTTTTTTATTGTGTATATGAGGTTAAGACCTAAAAGACAAAAAAAAATTATTGAAATTGGATCACTGAATTAGGAATCAATTCTTTTTTTATGATTTACTAAAATTTAGTCATAATAATAATATGAAATACTTTTTCACGATTTTCTTATAATTTAGTATTTCAATTTCAATAAATTTTTTATTTTATTGAGTAAATCAAGATCTATAAAACAAAAAAAAGTTCATTGAAATTGGATCATTGGATCAAGAGATAATTATTTTCTTTTTTTGTCCCGATTTTACATAGTAAGACACTGCCGATCTTAACCGAATTAGCAATTAAACACTTTTTTGGAGTTGGCATTTTGACAGGCAACTCTACAAGTGGGGAGAAGTGATTGTCATTGTTTATTGGTTTAGAATTGGTCAGTCTTTATATTATTTTATAAAGACCTTCATCAGATTAATAGATTTATTCAATATAAAAATCATTTATTATATGAAGACCGATATGAGGACTGGTCGGTCTTCAGGACCGGTCCTACTGCACCACAAAAAAATGCAAGATCGCGGTCCGGTCCTACA